CACTACCACAACCACCACGACCACTACCACTACCACTACCACTACCACTACGACCACTACCACAACTGCTACTACTACTACTACTACTACCTACTACTATCATTACTAGTACTACTAGTACTACTAGTACTATTAGTACTACTAGTACTACTAGTACTACTAGTACTACTAGTACTACAACTACTACTACTGCTACTGCTGCTACACTACTGTTACTACTCCTACTACTACTACTACTACTGCTACTACTACTATCACTACTAGTACTACTAGTACTACTAGTACTACTAGTACTACTAGTACTACTAGTACTACTAGTACTACTACTACTACTACTACGACGACGACGACTACTACTAGTACTTCTACTACTGCTACTGCTGCTACTACTGCTACTACTGCTACTACTGCTACTACTGCTACTGCTGCTTACTACTGCAACTACTCCTAGTACTACTACTACTACTACTACTACTACTACTACTATCACTACTAGTACTACTAGTACTACTAGTACTACTGCTACTACTACGACGACGCTACTACTACTCCTACTCCTGCTCCTACTACTGCTACTGCTACTACTACTACTACTACTACTACTAAGGGTCTCGGCTTGAGCATGCAAAAGGTAGAAGGGCTGATCTGCGGTGTCATGGTTCTCTGTCGATCGCAACTGCTGAGCATTTTGTTCTGGACGTCCCTTCTGGTGGCACCGGCAATGCTTGAGTCTCGTGGGTCCCAAATCCTGCGACAGGACGCACATGTAGGGGGCGCGACAACAACTGCGCGAAGTCCTGGAGACCCGAGGGTTGAGATTACCACCACAGGTAACTCGGGAGCTACTCATTCCAGAGTGGCGAAAAACTTTGGTGAATCTACCAGTCGTACAATTCAGCATTCGGCTTCCAGGAAGCGTGCCTATCGTCGGGCACGACGCCGAGCAGAAACCCATGGTGGGACAGTCTACAGGGGCAGATGGATGACAGCTGAAGCACTAGGAACCCAGCAGCTCACGACGAGCAGCGCAGCAGGCGCCAGGCGGGAGTCGATCTCCAGAGAGGCTCCCAGGCTGGGGCGCGCGCGGCCAAGAATTTGCGTGCGCAGTTACAACGTAGGTGGGGTGACCAGCTCTGTCTATGACGTCATACATCAGTGGTTAACTACCTCTTGCAGGGAGGACATCGTGATATTACAAGAACTTCACTGGGGGTGCGGCAAAACAGACAGCTCCTGGCAGATCCCTGGGTGGTCCATAGTGACCAGTGCTGATGCTCGCCAGCGTTTTTCTGGCGTTGGGGTTTTCATATCTAATCGGGTGGCCAAGCCAGACCAGATCAGCCACCGCTCGCACATCCCTGGACGCCTTTTACATGTCAGGTGCACCAGCGACTTGGTTACCCTGGATGTCATTGCTGGTTATCAATGGGTACGCAGCGAAGGAGGCTCCAGGACACCTCAGACCAGCGCAGTCGTTTCTGGGCACAGCTGGGTGACTTGCTGCACAGTATACCTTCCAGGAATCTTGTCGTTGTTGGAGCAGATTTTAATACGCAATGTCGTTCGGTCAATGGGCTCATAGGACGAGGGGTACCCTGTACACAGCACAATCCTGATCCTGAGTTTGAAGCTCTACTGACTGCCCAACAACTTGTGTTGCTCAATACATGGGGTAGGGCCGCTCCCGCTGTGAGTCGAACGTACCAATTTGGCACTGTCTGTAGTCAGATTGATTTCATTGCCATGCGTCGACCTACCGTAGATCGCATAGCTCGTCAGTGCAAATCCGTGGAGTTCGACCTTGCGCCGTGGCGGGGAGGGGGTAAGCACCGGGCCATCGTAGCTAGTATACCTTGGCGGGCCGGATGGCTCTTTCATCCCCGGGTCTTAAAGCCCTCCCGAGTCTCCCTTCCCGCTTTACGGCAATCGTTGCATGTCTGGGACGGCAATGCACAAGAGCTGCAGCTACGTGTGAGCAAAACTCTGACGGATGCGGGGCCTGACACCACACTGCACCAGCTGAACAAGCAAATGCTTCATATCTGCGCACAGTTGTACCCAGGCCAGGCAAACCAGCGTCAGAAGCCGTGTACGCAGCCTCTGGTCGTTCGTAGTGTTCAACTCATGTGGCAGGCGCATAGAACCTTCCTTGAGCATAGACACTGTCGTAGTCTACGTGGGATCATCTCAGCCTGGAAAGCATACCGTGTTCTTCAGCGTCGTAGTCGTGAGTTGCGTGCAGCCAGCCGACAAGCTCGGCGCCAGTGGTTCGAGAATCATATTCTCACCGCAGAAGCGGCAGCCCAGAGGCAGGACATTGGCGCTGTGTATCGGGTTATTCGAATACTCGCTCCCAAGCGCAGGTACGACACTGTCAGGATTCGGAAGGCCGATGGCACCCTGCTAGGGCCGCGCGAGGAATTCGAAGAGATTCTCGCATACTTTCGCGATGCCTTTGATGGCGAGGACATAACAGTTGAAAGCACGTGTGAGCCTGTCCAACTCAGTCAGGCGGAAATCGTAAGTGCCATTGGGTTTCTTAAGGGAGGTAAGGCTGTCCCCAAAAACAGCACCCCTGCTGAACTGTGGCGGTTGTGTCCCAGCGAATATGCTGAGCAACTCGTGCGTGTCCTCAGCGCACCGCGCACTGAGCTGCGGCCTCTCCCTTCAGAAATAACGGACTGCGAACTAACCCTGTTGCCCAAACCTCATAAGCCAGGTAAGAGGCCCTCAGACTTGCGCCCATTAGGATTACAGGACCCCAGCTCCAAGGTAGTGGCCGTAGCAGTCCGAGAACGGCTGACTGCCATTGTTGGCCCGTATGTTGCGCAGAGACCGCAGTTTGCTTACATCCAGGGCAAGTCCATCGATGGCGCCATAGCAAGGGTCCTATCGCACTGCTCCAGCATTCGTGCCAAACTGCAGCACGCCTGCTTAACCGTCCATGATAGGCGTGAGGGGCGCACAGTAAGTCGGTGTCTAGGAGGCGCCATGCTCAGCCTCGACTTGAGCAGAGCTTTCGATGAAGTCCCAAGACTTGCCCTTGATGCCTCATTGGCCCACGCGGGTGTTCCAGCAGACTTACGAGAGCTCATCATGCGGCTGCATACACAATGTCACTATGCCGTCACCCACAAGGGTCAGCATGGCCACTTTCCGATGCGGAAAGGTGTCAGACAAGGGTGTGCCTTGAGTCCCTTGCTCTTCACTGTCTACACCTGTCACTTATATGATGTTTTGGCCTCACGTACGTCTGCATGCTGGGCAGCGCGTGCCATCACTATGTTCGCGGATGACACCCACATTTCGTGGGATATCGATTCCACTGCCGATTTACGTTTCCTTGTCAAGTGTATCCAAATCACATTTCAGACCTTTGCTGAGTTTGGTATGAGACTAAACCCTGACAAATCAAAATTTATCTTGAAAATCCGTGGTGGAGCAGCGCGTAAGTGGATCAAAGCCCACACGCAGCGCACTGCCAATGGACCGGTGCTCAATCTGGGCACTCCGCACGAGCCTATCTTGATCCCACGAGTGCATAGTGCAGTGTACTTGGTGGGTATTGTTATCTCCTATGGTAGCTACGAACAACAAACATTTGCGCACCGGCACCAGGCTGCGCTTCAGTGCCGGCATCGTCTTTCCAAAGTGCTCCGAAGCAAACGCTTGCTCTTAAAGCAGCGCACCCGACTGTATGTTGCTTGTATACGCAGTAGTCTTCTATATGGCATGCATGTTGTAGGGGTCACCCCCAGCATTGCCCGCAAGCTGGATCAGTTTGAAGCCCGGTCTCTTAGAGCCATAGCCTTTTCGCCATCATTCATCACTCGGGAGAGCACGGCTTCGTTGCGCCTGCGGTTGGGTGTCATGTCACCGCTTCAGGCCATTCAAGGCATTCTTGATCGTAGGATTGTCAAATGCCAGACGCCTGAAGAGATGACTTGGTTTCAGAGCCGGCTCTTTGATGTTGTAACTCTGCAGCAGCAGCACTGGAAACCTGATTCAGAGACACCAGATCATGCTGAGCCGAGTGCTGGGGTTTCTTGTAGTGTATGTGGGCAGTATTTCATCAATGCGCGTATCATGCGCTCACACAGGGCCCGAGCTCATGGCCGGTATAATCGGCCAGCCCGGCCTGGTGTGCTCTCTGCCAGTGCGTACGCTGCCCATGCTGTAGACGGAACGCCGACCTGCGCCAAATGTGGCCGTCAGTTCACTCGAGTTGAGGGTCTTAAGAAACATGTACGTCGGGGGTGCGAGGCCAAGCCGGTTTCTGATTCTTCCATAGCAAGGGAGGCAGTCAGCGATCCAGTGGCGCAGGTAGCCACGGATCGTGAGGAGCTGCTGGGGCACTCGTGCCGAGCTCCTCCGACTGCCTCCAGGCCGCCTGTTGCTTTATCTAATTCCAGTGCTCTGCTTGATGACGACACTTTCTGCGAATTGTCGCGCCAGCACTGGAAACTTCCGTTGAAAAACGAGTCCATGCGTGCCAAGCTTGCTGCATATTGTGTCATCTGTGGGCAGTGGTGTGCGCGTGTCAAACAGCATCATAGGCAAATGCATATTGCAGAATGGGCCTTACATGACCAAGCTGTGTCACGGTGCTGCAGCGCTGGGCTCCGAGCCGCCTCTAGCTGCCAACACTGTGGTCTGCAAGTTTCCCAGCCCAGCCGGCACCTTAAGCACTGCACAGTCCTGTATCAGGCTTCGTTAGCATCGTTGATACTGGCCCAGGCCTCGCAGAATGGAGAACGAGAAGGAGGAGGCAGCCCGAGCCGTTCAGGCTCGCGAGGAGATGCGGCAGGTACTAGGTGCTATCCCCCCGCCGAGCCTGAGCACCACTCCGGGACCAAGCGAAGGAGGCCTGGAGGACGACCAGGCCCCCACGCCGGAAGCTCGACAGCCCAAATGGCAGAAACCAGCTTCCAAGGGGGGCAAAGGCGGCTCACAGGGTGGCTGGTACCAAGGCAGCTGGGGCCAGAAGCGCCAGTGGGAGCCGGCGGCTACGGCGAGTCTGGTGCTGGACCAGGCCACTCAGGATGTAATGCGGAGCATGGTGAAGGTGGTGCTCCGGCACGAGGCAGAGATCCAGCGGATCAAGACCGATGTCGGCTACATGGTCTTCATCGATACTTCGGGGTTGGGCATCCTTCCCCTGCTTCGATCCATGGCCGAGAACTCGCCCAGGGCACGGTCACGACACCGTTGCGGCACGTCCTCTTTCTCTGCATGCTGGAGACCCTGAAGACGAAGGCCGAGGAGGTGTTGCAAGACGAGGACCGCCTTCAGCGTTGCATGAACGTGGAGTGGACGGTGCAGGGAGCCACGGCGCTCAACCCGGCCTGGGTGTATCACACCTGGGACTCTGTGGCAAAATGACAGATCAAGGCGGACACCCCTCCTCTGCCACACTCCGAGGCAATGAAGATGATCGACCTGCTGCTCCAGCACTCCCCGAGGGACGGTGTCCTCAAGAACTTCAAGACCCCTCGCAAGATGTCGCCGAAGGATCAGTACAAGGCGGAGGTCCTCCCTTTCATGGCCTCAATCGGGCTCCGGGGCGAGTCATGCAAGATCTGCTTCGATGCCCTTCGTGTCCTGAGCGGTCTGGCCATCACGAAGCTGATCGGAGTTCGCATCCGCCCGGAGCGGGGTCAGGAGTCGCAACTGATCAAGCAGTTGAAGGAGTCCTACATGGGGACCTCCTACTGCGACTGGGGAGCACAGGACAGCCCCTGGAAGAACAGCGCGGCCTAGGTCGGCCCGCTGTGGCTGCACATGAGGTCGTGCAGCACAAAACTGCGGGTGCCAGCCTTATGTTGCCACTCTGCAAGCTGCAGAATCGCACCAACCTGCGTTACTGCAATGCTGTTTGCACAGCTCTCTACTGGCTGGGTGAGGTGTCCACTCTGGCTTTGGCCTGCTATGGCACCCTTCAGGCCGGGCTACGCGTCACGCGTGCCAATCGGCCCATTGCCTTGCCAGACTGCCTAGCATTACGCCCACTCTTTGTGCAATGGCGTCATTTGCATCAACAGCACGATGCAGGAGAATTCCTGCAACATCTGTTGTCTGTGGCGCGGCCGCGCGCTTGTGATTGGCGTTGGGAGTCACGCCTTGCCAATCCTTATCAGCTGCATGACTCAGGTGACTATGGTGCCCCTTTGCTCCTGAGCCTCT